GCACCCCAGGAGAGGTCCGGGGAGCAGCGGTATCGTTACGTTTTGGTTTTCCCACAGGCCATGGAGGAGGTGATGCTCTCGCAGGTCGACGCGGACCAGCGGTACGTTCGCGCGCTGGGCAGCAGCGAGGCCCCTGCCATCGCCCGGACGAAGACCAGGCCGCAGAAGCAGCAGGTGGAGAAGAGGATCAGCACGGAGAAGCCCAGTCCCGGGGAGTCGGACACCGTGGAGCTCTTGCCATGGCACACGCGTAGTGTGTATATGGTGGTGGGCGCCCCCTGGGTCAGCAGCGAAGAAGGTCCGGCTGAGACTGGCAAGCCTCCCAAGAAGAAGTGAGGGGCCGAGGCTTGGCTGGCGGCCACGGCTAGGCAGAGGATCAGGTATCTTGCTCCTCCTCCCAGCCCATATCCGCCCCCTCTTCTTTTGCTGCCCCACCTCACTTTGCCACTCCGCGGTTTCACACGTCCACTTGCACGCACTCTTCAGAGGGGTGCTGGCTGAAAAACATTTGTCCAGCTGGCTTCTTGGAGAGATGCGGGCAGTAGCAGCAGTTCACGCGGGCGCTTCCGACTGGCTTCAAGTCCCTTGAAAATCTGGGTGGGGAAAAGATGCGTCAATCGGCTACATGCTGTCTGCTTTGAGGGATGGATGGCGCTTGGAAGTGTTTGTGGGATGCGCCTGTGAGACTTCGAAACAGTTTGCCTGAAAGTTGCTTGAGGCTTCTGGGCGGTTCACGAGAAGCTGCTCATGATGTTTGCATAAGCTCCGAGGTGGCTCTTCATGCGTTTCCCAGATCTTTCAGAGTTTCGAAGAGCATTGAGCCTGGCATGGCTCAGACAGACCAAGTGGCTTATATGGCTCACATGGCAAAAGGGGCACATGAACCGATTATGCTGACGGAGCCCATACGAATCACTGGGCTCATAGGGCCCGTACGGCCGAGAGGGCTCATAAGGCCCATGGGGCCGGGCCCCTGGGGCTTGTAGAGGTCATGGTGCCTACAGTATTCATCTCCGTGCAGTTCATAGGGCGCTGCAGGCCCACAAAAGTCACAGCCCAGAGGAGCACTGGGTCTTGAGGGCTCATCGCCCCCACAGGTCGATTAGTTCCACGAGGCTCATATGGCCCAGGGGTTACCCCAAGGCTCGTAGGCGCCCCGTGTCTTCCACCACGTAGACTGCAGCACGCTACTTACAGCAGGTAGACTGCACACAGGTTGCGCCACACATCTTGCATTGCGTAGCTTGTACAGCGTAGGCTTACACCACGTAGGTTGCACCACAAAGTCTGTACCACATAGCTTGCACCACATCGGTTACACCGAATAGCTATCACCAGCTAGCTTGCAGCACCTATCGTGCACCGTATAGATTGCGCTTCGTAGATAGCACCGCACGTCGTAGACCTCATAGCTTTCAACACATACAGTGCGCCGCATGGGCGCAGCCTTCAGAACATAGCTTGCACTACATAGCTTCGTCTGCACAGCTTTCACAGCATAGTTTGTATCACGTAACTTTCACAACATGGATTGCACCGCATAGCTTGTGCCTCATAGCGTGCACCCATACTTTGCATCGCATATCTGGCACCACATACATCGCGCCACGTAGCTTGCCCCACATAGCTTACAACACATAGCTGGTACCGCATAGCCTGACCATCCAGCGCATAAGAAGTCAAGCGTTGGTGCCCACGCTTGCCGTCATACATCTATCTATACAGATGCATATACATAATGTGTTGTATGTGTGTAGACATTCAGGCATATATACATCCATACATACCTACATACGTACGTGCATAGGTACAAACGCACATACGTGCCTATGTAGATACATACATACATGCATGCATGCATGCACGCACGCATGCATACGTACATACATACCTACGAGAAAGAGAAAAAGAGAGAGAGAGAGAGAGAGTGCGACCGTGGCACACCCCCAGAGGGGTGGGGGACCCCCTTAGCTACCCCCCCCCCCTTGAGCCTCCCCCGCCGGAAGCCCCCCCCCCCCTCCGTTTTTCTCGCCCCTCGGAAGCTACCCCCGCCCCTCCTTTTCACGCTCCGCTCCGGAAGCTGCCCCGCCCCTCCCTTTCGAAAGGAAGGGGGGGGCTTCGCTACCCCCCCTCCCCCTTGAAAGGAGGGGAGGCTCAGCTCCCCCCCCTTGAACCCCCCCTGCCGGACCCACCCCCCCCTCTCCTTTTTCTCCGCCCTCGGAAGCTACCCCCCCCTCCCCTCCTTTCGCGCTCCGGATGCTCCCTCCCCCCCTCCCCCCCCCCTCCTCCAAGGGGGGGGGTTTTGGCCGCCCCCCCCCTGGACCTCCTCTGCCGGAAGCCCCACCCCCCTCCCTTTTTTATTGCTCCTCGGGAGCGAAGCTCCCCCCTCCCCCCCAACAGGCACCGAATGCCCAAAGAACTGCGCGCAACCCAACTCCGCCCCGAAAACCGCAGAAAGCACGAAACATACAAGAGCGCGGAACTACGAAAGAGCGCGGAAACCCAAAGGAGCACGGAAAACGCAAGGAGCGCCACCGAAAAGAACACCAAAAACGAAACGAGCGCTAGAAACCAGAATGGCGCCGAAAACCAAGAAAGCGCCGAAGACCAAAGGCGCGCCGCCAACCAACAGGTCTCCACATTCAAAGGACGCGCAGAAGACCAATGGCGCGCCGAAAACCAAACGAGCGGCAAAAACCAAAGGAGCGCCGTAAACCACAAGTGCCCCGAGAATCAAATGGCGCCGAGAACCCAAAAAGACCGAAAGCCAAAGAAACGCCGAAATCGGCGCCGACACCAAAAAAAACGCCGAAAACTAAAGAACCAATACGCGTCGAACATCAAAAGAGCGCTGACAATCACAGCGCCGCAAGCCAAATGGACGCCGAAAACCAAGATGCCCCGACAACCAACAGGGCGTCGAAAACTAAAGGAGCGCCGCAAACACAAAGAGCGTCGAAAACAACGAGAGTCGGCGAAATTCAAAGAAACCCGAACAACCCAAGACGGCGCGGAAAACTACGAATACGCCGAAAGCCAAAGGAGCGCCGAAAACCAAACGAGCGCCGCAAACCAACAGGGCGCCTAAAACCGATCAGACGCCGACAAATTTCGACTCGCCGAACACCGACAGAGCGCCAACAAAACCTTAGGACACCGAGAACCAAAGAGGCACCCAAACCCAAAGGACCGCCGAAAACAGAAAAGGCGCCAAAAACCACAAGAACACCGAAACAAAGAGGACCCCGAAAACCAACGATGCCCCAAGAACCCACGGATTGCTGAAAACCAATGCGACGCCGAAAACCAAAGATGCGCCGAATATCGGAGCGGACCCGAAAACCACATGGACGCCCCTTTCCCTTCTATGATCCCTGCCAGAAGCCGCCCCCTCCTCCCTCCCTGTTCGGCTGAAGGAAGAGAAAGGCTTGGAAAGCCCTCCACCCCCCTGTGGCTGAAGGAAGGCTCCGAAGACCAAAAGACCGCGGACAACCAAAGGGCGACGAAAACCAAAGACTCGCCGAACTTCAAAAAAGTGCACAGCAGCAAAGAAACACCCGAACACCAAGGAGGCGCCAAAATCCAACAAGGCGCCGAAGACGAACTGAGCGCCGAAAACCGAAGGAACGACGAAACCCAAAGAACCGCCAAAACCCAAAAAGGCGACGACAACCACAAGGGCGCCGAAAACCAACCGTACGCCGAACACCCAAAGCGCGCCAAAAGCAGTGGAGCAACGAGACCGAACCGGCGCCGAAAACGAACCGAACGCCGAAAACTAAAGAGCCGACGAACACCAAAAACGGCGCTGGAAACTGGCGAGTAAGCGTCGAAACCCCGAAGATACGCCGAATGCCAAACGATCGTCGAAAACCATGGCGGCGCCGAAAAGCAAAGCAGCACCAAAAAAAATAACTCGCCGAAAACCAAAGAGGCACCCAAGACCAACGGATCGCCAAACTCCAAAAGAGCTCCAGAAATTACAAGGGCGCCGAAAACAAATACAACGCCCTCACAGGGGCCTTCGATGGAGCTCCCTATTGCCATATGGGGCCACGAAAAGTGTGAGGGGTGCGCCGGATTGGGAGTGGAACTGCATGCGGACCTTGCCACTGGGGCCTTCTGCGGAGCACCCTATGGGCCACGAAACGTGTGAGGGGTGCGCCGGATTGGGAGTGGACCCTGCCACTGGGGCCTTCGGTGGATTACCCTATGGGGCGACCTTCGGTGGAGCTCCCTATGAGGCCACGAAGCGTGCGAGGGGTGCGCCGACATGTGCATGCGAGAAGGCGGAGGCAGAGATGGGAGGAAGGAAGAGGGGGAAGAGCAGAGGAGGAGGGACGCGGGGCGCTGTCTCTTCAAAACGAGGACCCAACACCACAGGATGGTTGGGAATAGGGAAAGTAGCTTTGGAGTCCCCCCCCCCTTGGCAAACCAATCTCCGCTGCGAAAGGAGAGAAGGAAGGGGGGGCAGCTTCCGATTCTCCCCCCCCCGCACCCTCTGAAAGGGAAGCCCGGGCGAACCTCGGGCTCCGGAAAAGGAGGGAGGGGGGGACAGCCTTGAAGCCCCCCGCCCCCCGTGGCAGGGCAATCTCAGCTGCGAAAGGGAGGGGGGGGAGCGTCCCCTCCCTGGCTGGCCTTAGGCTCCGGAACCGGAAGGGACGCCCCCCCCCTCTTGGCAGACCAATCCCGGCTGCGAAAAGAAGGGGGGGGGGGAGCTTCCGAAGCCCCCCCCCTCCCCTTTGAAAGGGAAGCCCGGGCTAGCTTTTGGCCCTACAAGGGGTCGAAGGAGAGGGGCAGCTTCCAAGCCCCCCCCCCTTTAGCTAGGGACCCCCAAGCTCGAAAATACCTGCAAAAAGGGGGGAGGGGGATAGCTTCGGAAGCCCCCCCCTTTTTCCAAAGGAGGGGGGGGAGCTTGAAGCTGGGCCCAGCACTTTAATGAGAAGGGCGTCGCGAGCGCGCTCTTTCATCATACATACATACATGCATACACATTACATACCCACATGTATACGAAAGAGCGCGTTCTGTGGTCGCTTAGAGGAGGGTTCTCTCATACATACATACATACATACATACATACATAACATAACATAACATAACATAACATGACATGACATGACATGGCATGACATGGCATGACATGGCATGACATGGCATAACATAACATGACATAACATACCATAACATAACATAACATAACATAACATAACATAACATAGCATAGTATAACATAGCATAGCATAACATACATGCATGCATGCATGCATGCATGCATGCATGCATACATACATACATGCATGCATGCATGCATGCATACATGAATGTATGCATGCGCACATGCATGTAAGCATACGTACGTTCATCCATCTATGCATGCATGAACGGATACGTGTGTACATGCATGCATGCATGCATATACACAGGTTGCATTACATAACAATGCATCCCCTTACATTCCATACATACTTACTTACTTACATGCATACATACACACAGACATACAGGCAGACAGGCAGCCATACGGACATACACACATGCATGCGTACATGCATACATGCCTACACACATACATACACACATACATACGTACACACGCGCCTACGCACATGCATACATACATACAGACATACGCATTCAAACATGCATGCACACATACATGCGTACATAGATGTACGCGTGCATGCATGCATACAGATATAAGTACACACAGATATATATATATATATATATATATATACACAAGCCATACAAGCATGCATGCATGCATGCATACATGCATCACCGCACACATACTTACATACATGCATGCATACATACATATACGTATCCATACATACATACATCAATATACGTATATACATGCACGCATTCATTCATACATCATCACATGCATACATACATGCATGCATCCATACATGCATGCAATGATGCATGTAATCGTACATGCCTACACATACATAAGCACATGCATACAAATGTGCATATCAGCATACCTATATGCATACACATGTACTTGCCTACGTACATACATGCATGCATGTAGACATACATGCGTATGTGATCTATGTGTATATATATATATATACATAGATGCACGCATACAGAAGAACAGGCGCGTTCTGTGGACGCTGGGAAGGGGGGGGTCGAACCAATCGGGCCTCTCCCCATATACCTCAAGGGGGGGAGGTTCGAACCGGGGGGGCGACCCCACCCCCCTGAGTTGCAGAGGGGGGGGGGTTCGAACCAGGAGGGGGGGCCCCCCTCTGTTCAAAGGGGTGGGGGGTTCGAACGGGGGGGTCCAAGGGAAGGAGGGGTGATTCAAACCGGTGCAGGGGCCCCGCCCGCTTCTGTCCATCGGGGAGGGGTTCGAACGGGGAGGGGGGGCCCCCCATCGACCTCGTCCTGCAACCGACGATCAGCAAGCGCCAGCGCCAGCGCCATCGGGTAGCGACGACGACGACGAAGACGACGAAGACGACGACGACGCTGACCACGGCGACGGCGACCACGGCAACAGCGACAATGGCGAAGGCGACGGCGACGGCGAGAGGAGGAGGACGGAGGAAGAGGAGGAGGAGGAGGGCGAGGAAGAGGAGCCTCGCCACGCCAGGCCGAGCTGGTCATGTGCAGGTCGGTGCGGCAGGGCTCGGAGGCCGCCCTGGGCGCCCTCCTAGCGGCGCCGTGACCCGGGGCTCTTCGCCCGGCCGGGAGACCGCGAGGACGCCGGCCGAGGCGGGCGACGTCTTCGGCAATGGGGGGCCCCAGGCCGTCGGTCCCGAGATCGGCCGCGGGCCGGGCCAGGCAGGAGGAGGAGGAAGAGGAGGCAGTCGAGAGGACCCGCAGGTGCACGACCACGTGCGCAAGGCAGCGCGAGGCCGGCGCTTGACCGTGCACCTGGTTGCGCCAGCCACGCGCCAGGAGGCAGTCGGGAGGAGGCCCCTTGAGCTCAGCCCGGTCCAGGTCTTGGCCGCGGGGCGGCAGAGCGCGGGCGCAGGGAGAGACCTCTTCGCCCCAGCCACGCGGCAGGACCAGAGCAAAAACGTTCAAGTTGCCGCAAGGTGTTCGGAAGTCTTCGAGGCCTGGGGTGGTTTTTCTATCAGCTGCCCATCGTCGATGAATGCCTGGATCCTCCCGGGCGGCAGACGGAGAGCCGAGCTATGGCCCGAACACCGGACGATGAGGAGCACTGGAAGGAGGGGGAGGAGGAGGAGGGAGGAGGAGGAGGAGGAGGAGGGGAGGAGGGAGGAGGAGGGGAGGAGGAGGAGGAGGAGGGGGGGGAGGAGGAGGAGGAGGAGAGGAGGAGGAGGAGGAGGAGGAGGAGGGAGGAGGAGGAGGAGGGGAGAGAGGAGGAGGGAGGAGGAGGAGGAGGAGGAGGAGGAGGAGGAGGAGGAGGTGGAGGGGGAGGAGGAGGAGGGAGAGGAGGTGGAGGAGGAGGAGGAGGAGGAGGAGGAGGAGGAGGACCAGAGCAAGCCCAAGATATGGTAGCGATGTTCCAGT